GGGGGGGGGGGGGGTACGTGGAGTGAACTTATGAAACGCCAGCGAATCCCGCGGGCTACTCCAAGCGCGCTCGCTGAGCACGATATTAAATTTCTGGAATTTTGCGGTCTCGCTACCAGTGCGATCCTACGTGCCGACAGGTCCCCATTCTTGTTTCTATCTCGACTACTACTTACGTTGGTACCCATGCCCCCAACTCTGCATCCCTCTCTCCATCTCCGGCCTATTATATCTCGCTATACAACATCCCCCCAATATCTCACGTTCCCTTATGACACTATACAATAAGCACTTCGAAAATCTTTGTGGCATTCTTCTCCATTTAAATTCAAATACCAACCCTTGGTAGTCACTTACAATTTTACAGAAAGACTTCCCTATGATTTTTGATATTAAATCATAATCCGAGATGGAGCCAAGATAAAGCCACTTTATAGAGGAATCATTTTTATCAAGCCTACTCTAAGTTTCGATTATACAACATTTACAAGTTTTCATTTGCGTTTGAGATGTATAGTACAGTTATCTTCCGGTGAACCAGTCCTGGGCTTCTTTAGAAGGTTAGAATGTATCTGGGTTCAGTAGCTGGTACTTGGTAGTTAGCCGTGAAGGTTGTGTATGATGAGCTGACAGGAGAACCAGCAAGTGGTATCACTGAAGATGGTGCATCGTACTGGTATTGCACTTGGGCAGCAACAGGAGTCGCAGCAACGTCATCTGCTGGTTGCAATTCCAGTTTGGCTGATATAGCTTGGAGTTTCTCCGGGCGCGATTCCGCCGTCTTCTGAGATGCTACTGCAAGTGCACTTGGTGCGAATTGCAATTTCTCCAGGGGTCTGTAAGCGTAAATTGGTCCACGTAGTGGCTCCACGTTTTCGGCGCGAATCCTCGCAAAGTACTTCATTGCCTCTACGTCTTGGCGGCTGACATACTGGATTCGCTGAAGACGACCATCCGGTAGAGCAACGTAGTATTCGCCAGATTGTTGTTGCTGCCCGTCGACCTCGCCTTCCTCGTCGAGGTCGTTCACGGAATTCACGGGCTCGGCCTAGTCAGCAATAATTAGGTATAAATTAGAGATCCAAATTGCTGGTTTAGGTACTAGATAATTCAGAATGCTTATGGTATCGTTATATAACAAGATATGTCGAGCGAATATTAATTTTCAATTGCGACCAAATATTTATGGGGTATGGAAAGTATTGAAAGTATTTTGAATGCCAGACGCAGCCGTCGTACGTCTTCGAGATTGCTGATCAATTGCTATTCCAGGGATGTAATGATTGGTAAGAAACGCTTGCCAAGCTGTTCGAACATTCCGTTTATCGCTGAGAGAAGCAATTAACGCTTTTGAAAGTTTATAGCGTTTGATTAGATTAGGAGCGATTAAGAAATTATTGGCTGTTTAGTGTTTCCTAGTTGGATCATTATTTAATAGTTTACCTCAGTATCGGGTGAGGGTGTGGTTGTTGAATCCTCGAATTCAGTGGTGGTGGGCTCTTCCGTAGTAGTTGTTTCTGGTGGTCCGTACTGCTGTTGAGGTTCAGGTACGCCGTACCCTTGCTGAGGTGAAGCAGGGGCTCCATATTGTTGCTGAGGTGCAGCAGGGGCTCCATATTGTTGCTGAGGTGCAGCAGGGGCTCTATATTGTTGCTGAGGTGCAGAAGAAGCTCGATATCGTTGCCGAGGTGCAGCAGGGGCTCCATATTGTTGCTGAGGTACAGCAGGGGCTTCGTATTGTTGCTGTGGTTCAGCAGGAGCTCCATAAGAGTCCTGAACTTGTTTCTGAGGAAGGTCAAAGGTCGGTCCAGCTGGTTTCCATCCAGAAGGTGCATAAGGTGCAGCGGCAGGTGGAGGGAAAGTCTCTTCTTGTTGCCTAGCAATGTAATACTGTCGTTGTTGCTGATTCTGTTGTCGGTATCTTGGCGGCTCGGCCAGTGCCAAAGCCGTGCATAACATCAAACCTACAAAGACCTGAAGTCGCGCACAGAAAATAAAGAAAAGGAGTGAAATCAAAAAAATGTTAATAAAAAGTCAAAATTTCACTTTCTATCCAAATATTAACTACTTGTACCTTCATGTTGTCTACTTGAGTGATCAGCTGGTTGTTTTCGAGTGACTGATTTCCGATCCCAACTTACCAGCATTATATACACCGTGTACAGTGCGCGTTCTGCATGTTTAAACGGACCCGATACCCAATACATTTGTTTGGTGGGCCGCAAGTGACATTGGCCTCCTAAAGCTTAAGCTGAATCCTCATCGCGTTCCCTTTCATCGCCAAGACCCATTGAAAATCATTTATCCAAGACCTCTTCGACGCATGCAGTATGCATCGTCACCATAACCTCATTTTGCATCCTCCGATCATTAAAAATTACAAGCTGACAATCAGCAACTCACAATGCAACGTATACGCATCACATATTGAAAATGCATTTTATCTTTGACTTAAGAATTTTCATACGTCATTTTCACCTTTATTTTTATCTCTGATCCTCCAATGCTAATATCGTTGCGTCTCTTATTATGTTAGGTTAGACTTAGTTGTCGCTGCTCGTATCGTTTTCATCCTCTGGCAGTCGCAATGCGTGACGCATGGCGCGTGCGCACCTCACGCATTCACGTCACGCGTATCCTTCGCGCGTGACGATTTACAATGATAAATTCGCGCGAGCCCGATCCTCATGGCAGCATCCGAGAAAAGCGATGCCGTCTCTCGGCCAGGGTCGGGCTAACGAGCGAACGGAATTTATTATTGGATATGCCCGTTAGGGTAGTGCGTGTGCGTCTGTGCGTAAGCGGGGTCGGGGATTCCCCGTCATTGCGTAGAATGGAAGGTGACTCCTTAATCGAGCCCGTCGCTGGGATTCCGAAGCCGATCGATATACCAACATTGATGATGGCTTGGCCTCTTCTGTCGTTTATGTACGACAAAGGAATATATATTTTTTTATTTTATATATTTTTTATTCTTTTTACTTTAAAGAGCCTTGTTAAGGATCTCGCCTGTATACATTCGCTTCTATTTTTTTTTTTTTTTTTAGAAAATTAAAACATAAATTTGATTGTTCTGAAGTTTAGTATTGAAGTTTCTTATTTTTTTTTACTTGGAATTAATGGAGGCGTGTAATATTTTTCGTCTCAATTGGGCTCTATACAAAGTATTCGATTTCGCTGTAACAGGTACTGGATACGTTAATTGCCATTTTGACTTCGTTTTGATTGGACACGACTGTTTCCTGTTTGCGTTGTCCGTGAAAGAAAAAAAAAATGTTTTGCCAAAATTCATATTACATAAAATCCAAAGAATAATCGCAACTCGAAAGTTCCGATCACCCCGAGGAGTCTGGAACGCGTGGCAGCGGGTTTCTGGCAAAGCAAATTATTCACACTCAAACGACTCCATTTCAATATCGGGGCGAACTAGGGACAAAAGAAGGGCGAGATGCCTGTCTCCCTTTTGCTTTTGCATTTGCTTTTGCCATGCTGCCAATACCGGGCAATGCTTCTGTCTGCAGCCTGCAGGCTTAACTCTATGCGGCTCGCGACTACAATCCCATACAACCCTTAACATATATATATACATATATATAGAAGTACGAAAACCCTAGGATTCCAATAATACCCCAGATACAATAGTAACAAGTATTAGTAGCATTAACAGTAGTACCATCAATACAATTAACACTAGTACTACTGAAAACAGCAAAAGCCAATCCTCCTCATTCCTTAATAAAAAAATCTCTTGAAAATTCAATAAAATGTTATACTACAAATTTGAATCGCTGGAACCATTCTAGGGGACTAATTTTAAGGGGATGATCTTCTAGGTACATGTTTAAAGTATCGTCTGCCCCGCAAGGGATAGTTTTATGTACTATATATGTATATATATATATATATATACTCAAATCGACAGGTCCGTCAGACAACGACAGCCCAGGTTCAGGTCTCGTAATTGAATATATTTAAGCGTGGGGGCGTTTGTGCGGATTCTCAGCTTACGAACCCCATGGAGTTAGCGTCTGCGAGTAAACTGGATTAATTGTCTATGAAGGGAGAGTAGTACACCCCACCGTATTTGTTTGCAATCAGATTCCCTAGGGAATTGAAAACGTCTCATGGATATACCTATTGGTAATTGACATACTGATACTGTCTTTTATAAATTTCAAAAGAATTGCGCAACTACCCACTTGTATGAATATGTCCGTAATAAGTTACATAAATATATTATAAATATTTGCAGCACACATAAGAATACACTGACTGAAATAATTCTTTAAAACAGTGTGGCCAACGGTAAAGTGCAAAAATGATCTTAAATTTTCATAGACAGACAAGGTCGGCGAGGCCTTTGATCCTTATAATCATGCGTATTATGTCAGTAAGTTATTTTTCTAATTGAATATGGATAAATAATTAGGTACTATCGCACGTGGATCTTCTATTAAATAGAAAAAGATACTAAATGCCATTCAACTTGTCATTCGTTTCGTGTACAAAAATGTCTTGGCCGTTGCGTAACAGTATGAAGTTTCAAAACTTCCACGGCGCCTAGAAAAATATAATAAAATTACCCGTTCGTAACTAAAAACGTTTCAACATTTCACTATAGTAATTTCGAAGGGCGAATAGATTACTCCTTATATACTAACTCGTGAAGGAATCGGTACATTGATCATTACGTAAAACGGGCAGCGACCCAATGATTGGCACTCGTGCGTGACACGCATGTAAATTGTGTAATTACAAAAAAAATACACTTGTCTGTATTCCCATAAGTATGCCATACCGTGTATCTTCCATTAGCTCGGTATCCATGTTGCAATATTATTCGATAAAGTTTTTGTTGTGAGGGAGGCTTTATGGTCTCCCATGAGAACCACGAATCGTTTGGCAACCAGTTGCTTGGCTCCCAGAGGACTCGTTTTCAAAGCGTAAACGAATTACCGCTTACTGCTAACCCTAGAACGAGGCAGACCACAGTTGGTACTCCTGGGAGTCGCCAATTTCATCCTCGTTTTCCTGCTACAATGAATTACTCTCTAAAACCACCCTTATTACCAACGACCCACTGTACTCCAGTACTATGGCGTGTTACAGTGAAATATCGAGGTCACGGAGTGACTAAGATTTACATGATTGAAAAGTAAACTAGATTTTTTTTTCGCTCGACTACGACTAGATACAATTTTTCAAACTGTTTACAGAGAGTGTTATGATTTATCAGCGAATATGGATTTGATACCCTATCAGGTATTTCTAGGGAATTTTTCTGGAATACGCCTATACGAAATTTTCCCTAGGGCTCGCAGTTGATCGCCCACGATTTTTCAGGAGGATCTTCTGGATTAGCGGGGTGAAATTAATTCGCCGGCAGTGACGGCAGGGTCGTAGGCATCCCTGAACTGACACGAGGTGCAGATGGGTACCGTCAGTCAATGTTTGCGCGTTTAACCAACCGTGCACTGGCGTGGAGTTTGCACGAGATATTAGCGCACGTCGAACTTCAACCCTCTACTCATTTAATCACTTTCCGTACAGGGAGAACCGACGCGTTACCATTTCGCCCTTACAAGGAAGACAGTCAGTTTCAGTCTGTACCTGAGTTCTTTACTTTAACTATACTTATATAAAGAATAAAAAAAGGTGTGAAGACTTTTTTTCAAGAGATCATTTGGTCATCATTGTTTTCTAATGAATTCTTCTTGTTCCTTTTTGGCCTTATGCTCTCCTAGAGAGCCAAATACCATTTATAATGAATTACTAATAATGACCAATTACCTATACTAGTCCTGCCATCTATGTTTAAATAAAGTAACGGGCGATTTTTAAAAAACTCAACGCTGCGCGATTCATAATTCTTGTCAGAGCAGACAATGGAAAATATGAATCTTGTAGTTTTTTCACGAATAAATGTACTGTCTAACTTGTGTACAATTGTCTAGTTTTGTCTAGTAGGTTATTTATGATATAAACCAGAATATACCGTAACAAGAACTGTCATGGCTTAGGGATGTTACGGTAAAGTTAAGTCACAGAATACGGACCGTGAGGCTGGATAAAGTTCTCGTTGTAAACGGAGCTTACTCGCGCTCTCCTGGCGCGTTACGTTCTTCCAGTTTCCCTCTAAAGCATCTTCCCTCCTGCTCTCCAACTGCAGACGAAGAAAAAGGGTTGGAGCGCGTAAGACAGAAGATACAGAAGGTAGAAACTGAGGGAGGAAGTCTGAGGAACTTACAAAAGTACATCGCGACTCAAGAGGCCGGAAGTAATCGGGAGTTCGAGAGACGCGGATTTCTGGATGGTAGCGTAAACGTTGTTATTTAGTGGGTGGCGAACTTCTTCTTCTTCTTCTTCCTCCTCTTCATCGTCGTCCTTCCTTCTCCGCTTCGTGACTTTTCAAATTGTTGCCTCACAACGAACCTGCATAGAATTATTTATCGAAATTAATTATCATCATTCTTCGCTCATGTATCATTCAACCTATATAAATCAATACGTATTACGAACGATCAAATTATTGTACACAAACTGAATTAGGCATTAAAAATTACACAGAAGTGCTCAAAAGTTTTGACGAAAACGCTCGTAGAATTTGATTGAGTCGCGCATAAGGAGATTTGCCTCGAGCTTGTTCGAGCGTTTGTTGGCAAAGAGGATTGAGTTGAATCTATGGAACCGGGTTGGGTGGTAGTATAGATAGTAGGCAGCAAGACTGTGATGGGGTGGGAAATTGGTATGGAGAAACTGTAGCAGAGGGAGTTACAAATGAATCGCGTAATAACCCTTAGTTGATATATATATATATAATATAGAACTTGCTTATATATTCGAATGCACGACCGGTTGAGTATATATCTATATAAATTCTTAATGGACTTTCCAATATTTTCATTTTATCTAATTTAAGTATTTTTTTTTAATTCTATAGCTAAATGGCTAACATAATTTATACAGGTTTTCTAGATAATATAGTAAAGTCATTGACAATAACGTTTAGCATTAAATTGTATAACTGACGCATATAGTTTTATGCAAATGCATATGTGATGTTTGAATTTATTTATAGTTTTGTGAGACAAATTATGTATGTTAAGCGTTCCTTGTATTCTAGTTTTCTAACAGTTAATTTCAATGTCGACGGCTCGACACGTCGTTTACTTTCTCAGCCATTTAACGCGACATTGCTGCGCATGCGCGAGAGCACGTGCCTGTACTTATCCGGCGGTATTACGGCTAGTTTCATGGCCGCTATTCTAGCTAACTTCACTTTCCAACAGATTAACCGTGTATTTCATTAAAACTACGTTATAGTGAGAGATCATTGGTTCACGTCGTTAAACGGGAAATATACATACAACGAAGTACCGGCACTCTTGTAAGTTTTGTTGTCGAAGTAGAGCAAATACAGATTGAAGAGGAAAACTGAGTGCTAGCTCACAGGAAAATTTGGATTGAATTATCTACTGGAATCAGATTTGTTGTCTAACTAAATTCTAAGATTTTCCTCCCTCATGAGATCTAATACTAAAATTTTCTCTTACAGCTCTCTCTCTCTCTGTCTCTCTCTCTCTCTCTCTCTCTCTCTCTCTCTCTCTCTCTCTCTCTCTCTCTCTCTCTCTCCCTCTCTCTCTCTCTCTCTGTCTGCCTGTCTGATTCCTGATACTATCCCCTTTCTCTCGAAAGCCAAAGCCAGTGTACGGCAAAATCCGTTCCAGGAACTAAGTTCTCTAGCATATTTGGTATTAAAGTCAGTCTGATAAATTTATCCATGGGATTAGGCATTAGGCTGAACGGGATTAAGTCTCCTCCATCCGTTCTACCGATCGTATCGCGTTTGCAATGCCATCCGGGCTCCTGATTCGCCGTGAGTCTCCCATTGAGCATTTTATCTTCTTGGAGAAGTATAGACCAGATCAATTTCACCCCTTCGATACTGGAAAAGAGACAGAAGTAAAACAGAAAAAGAACTTGCCATTACGTCATAGATAGATACATACATACCCAAGAACGTTTTATCAGCCCTCATGAAATCGAGATATTTGGACGTAACCATACAAGCAAGTCCTTTCACAACTGAATGGCCGTTACTAACGCATCATGGCCGCTCATTGTGAAAAGGGCCGGGTCTTTTCTGGTCGCGTTAAAAATGATAATCGCACCGAGGGGTGCGAGGTGTCACAGCGTAACGGAGCAACCCCATAGGCAGACGCATGCACCCATCACATCCACCTATCAGGAAGGTGATGTCTGTTAGAGTGAACAAGAGAATAAAAAAAAGAGAAATAAAAGAAAAATGGGAGGGTTAGGTAGACCCTTCCCTATATCGTTGATACAAGCAGGCACCGTAAAACCGGGCTTGGTCTCTCTTGCTACATGGTTATTCTCTTACATAAGCAAGATAGGGCCCCATAGCCCTATATATATCCTACATATAAAAGGGAGACACGTATATATTCACCAAACGCATTACATTATTACAGACCCTAATAGTCGACCGTTTTGTACTTTCCATGTTCCGGACTCTACACTGACTCCCGTAGTCACTCGAGCGTGTTCATATCGACGGCTAACCTGAGCCCCTATAGCTACGGTAACATCTGTATCATTACCATTGTCCGATTCGCTAAGTACATCTGTCCCTTCCGTCCTAGAGGATTTTTCATCGCGTCCCTTCTCACGACACGGTGAAACCGTATTTTTCTTCTGAGTGTGCGTTCTGCGAAAATAGAAAAAAATATATATATATGGTACACTCTAAGAGCAGGGTGCTAAGTGGAGGGGATAAAAGAAAAAGCGCTACCAATTCCAGTTAAGGTAACAAAGAATCGTTTTACCTTGAAGCACCCATTTTGGACCACAAAAAGGGTCCGGTTGTTCTTTCTTTTGACTTGTGCCAAAGCACACGGCATATGCACTTATGTATTATTATTATATACTTGAATGCCATTATCTCGACTCTCCATCTGGTGAAAGTGTAGCTTTGTTTCTGCGAAGTTAGGCATCCGATACAATGACGTCGAGAAATACCTTTGATCGAGGTTCACTTGCCGAAGTATTAAATTGTTGAGATGCCGTGCGTAGGGAGAGAGAGGTGGTCTGACACACTGTCCAAGGTACGTGAACTTTAGCAGTCTAAAGGGTGGTCTCTCTGTACAAAGAAAACAGGAATGGTAAATGATTGTTAAAAAAAGGGGTAGCAAAGAGAGCAAGAGCAACGAAGAGTAGCACTTCTCCATCGTCAACCGCATAATGAGCCGTCACGCAATCGAAATAAACTATAGCCAAGCGAACGAGGACAATGCAATCAACCGCCATTGTAGCTCTACCTCAGGAACAATGAACTCCTGAAGTTTTAACGTTTAGCTAAGTGCGCGGACGGCATTATTGGAATTAATAAAGCGAGCCTGCACGGCTCGTGGCTCGGAACAAGGAAAAAAAATAGAAGAAAAAAAGGGTTCTGCCCGTAAACGCGTTTTCTTTTACGTCACGCACGAGTGCTTTGCTACGTTAACCGTTCTTGCTCAGTGCTTACCTATTATTACATACCTGTATGATCCACATGCCTAGATGCTCGTATGATTAAGGTACATAATTCACATAACCTGAAAGTGTCTCGTACGACATGTCTCTTACTCTTACTCTTACTCCATTACATAGTAAATATTATCCTCTCTGGACGCTCATCTCTTCGTGACTTCACCGATCCTTAAATATCCTGCTGTTGCTTTCTATCGAAGATACTTGGTAGAGGAAGACAAGGCGTAGGTAGGGACTTTCCACGGCTGCCGCCATTACGCTCGAACGAGCGCGAGCCACGGTTGGTGGATGACGACGTGCCGGACGAAGATGAGAGTCGAGATTTCAGCCCATGGCGGATGAGAGGGAGAGACAGGGGAAGCAACGGGGAGAGCGAGACAGAGGGAGCGAGAGGCAGGATGAACTGGAATGCTTTCCCCTACCACGGGGAAACGCTTGGCAGCTGGTGCCTTGCGACACCCGAGACTCCGTTATCCCCTCCCGACACGTCAAAATGGCCTACGGCTTCGCGACGGACTGAACCGCGTACTTTGAATTTTCTAACGTCCTTATTGGCAATTGATACACTTTAATTGCTACGGTTATTTAGGTCGGTGAAGTAAATAGTAAAGTGATTATTCGGAAGGCAGCCTCGCTATGGGAATCGCGTACTAGTTTCATTGGGAAATCGGATAAGGAAGTTGAACCGAGTTGAGGGTGAGTCAGGATATGGCAAAGTTGGTTCTCGAGTTGTCGAGGATGGCGGTTTTAATTGCTGCTTAAGACACCCTCATCGCGTTAACCTCATCCGAGGTCCTGGTAGGTACATACCGCCGAGTCAGGATGGGATGGTTGGTAGTGGGTATATTTTACTCCCTTCTACTACACTCCCCTCAAATTCTACGTTTACCAACCGGTACAGAAGAGAGAACTTACTACGGAACTTCCAGTACCAGCCCCATAATCTGCGAGAAGTTTACTGCCTTCCCTGTGGCTGCTTGCCAGCTCGAGCGCCGCCTCTACTTGGCTTATCTTAACTGTTTACAACGTACCTACCTATTACAACGAGAGGAGGCTGCATGCTACGTGCTACGTTGCTACACGCGTATCTAAACTTCTCGAATTTTCTAAATCGGATTAGCAGACGCAGGTTACGTATATCACACGTGATCACACACGTTACAGTCAAAGAATTCTCATTAGAAATGTCTCAAGTAATACAGAGATGGCGATATAATCAGGTGCTTAGATGATATGCAGTATGTATTGAATATGTTGAAAATTATAAGAGTTAATTATTTTCTTCATAAAGCTAAAGTCTCGACTGACCATCGTTTCTATCGAGTCAATTTTATCATCGAAAATATGAATGTCAAAGTTCGCTCACTTTTTCCGAAGGAAAGTGAAATTTCTTCGCGAGCAATGTAAAAGGTGCCGGGAAAGCGTTAGGGGATGGTTTGAGCATCATGTACGTAGATATTGGGTCGCCACGCCGATAGAGAGCCAAGAGGGTTGTTATCAGGTTTCCATTAGCGCGGAGGCCCAGGCAAAGTGAGAGAAGACAGGGCAGAGAGAAGCTTTCGTACGGTTACAGAACCACGAAGCATAGAGGGTTGGACTACTGGTGGCGTCGGGACGCCCGGCGTCTTATCGCAGCACCTCTCCAGTCCTCCCGTCCCAGCTCCTCATCCACGAGCCAAAACCCACTGACGCCTCGACGCGCTCACCCAGAAACCGACGATAAGGTTTGCCGGGCGACGCCTGCCTGCTACTCCTACATTCTCTTCCACCCTCTAGGTCCTCTCGTGCTCTTCTCCTCCCCTACCCTGATTCTCATACACACGCATACACGCGTCCCACCCCTTCGCTTCCGGTACAGCCATTTCACTCGAAGCAACCTGGTGCAAGGCCATGCCCAGAAGTCGTTGTACCCACTCGCAAGACTCAGTAAACATTTTACAGAAAGTCACACCCAATCTCTTCTGTTTGCAGTGGCTGAACTTGAAGGTGGCGCCCATTCGGACGAGACGAACAGCGGGGGCGACAACAGTAACGCCGGTAGCGTTTCCGGCGGCGCGGACGACGATCAGGCCAGGTTGCGTCTCAAGCGAAAACTCCAGCGAAATCGCACGAGCTTCAGTAACGAGCAGATCGACGCCCTGGAGAAAGAATTCGAGAGGACTCATTATCCGGATGTCTTTGCCAGAGAGAGACTAGCCGGAAAGATTGGCCTACCGGAAGCCCGGATACAGGTGACTATCATATTATTAACTTGAAAATAATTTAACGACTATGTTACATAGATTCTGGTTCGGAACTAATTTTTTTTAGTATCACCTTTCACGCATATACATACAAATGCTCTTCTTTAATCGTACTTATCAGCATGCAGCTTTTTCCTCAATCCCCTTGATGTGTAGCATAGCGATTGACCTATCTCGTCTGTCTCGTCCACTAACTCAGGTATGGTTTTCGAATCGGCGTGCGAAGTGGCGACGGGAGGAGAAATTGCGAACCCAGAGGAGGGACAGTTCTCAGCAGCATACTGGTGGCGTCAGTCTTATTGGAGGTCATCCAACGCCTCCGCCACCTTCTGGTATTCTTGGAGGTCAGCCACCGCCGCAGGCGCCACCATCGCCCCCAAGAATTCATCATGGGTTCGCGCCCACGGCTGTATACCCAGGTATACCAAGTATGCCGGATTCGTACAGGTAATAATCATATACTCTATTTATTCAAGTGAAGGTACCACCATTGCTTCGTTAATATAATTAATTAATGAACATTTCAACACGATTCCCTTACAGTCCCATGACGTCCATGCCGAGCTTCACGATGTCCGGAAGTAGTCAGCAGACCCAGCATACTACAAGCATGTCCTCCCTGTCATCAGGAGGCGGTATGGGTCCTATGGGCATGACCGTAGGTATGACAGTAGGTCCCAGTCCTGGTGCCTGCCTTCAACAACGTGACAACGGCTATTCCTGCGGGGTAGCAAGACCTCCGAGCTACGAGCCACTTCATCTAGGGTACGGGGCCCGACCTACTTGCAGTCCCACTCAGCCCTATCATACCGCGGGCCTTAACCAGTACAACCAGAACACCAGCTCGACCGGTGAGTGTCTACCGCACTCACTGCACTCGCTGCTTGCTCTTTAGCCGCTGGACAATGGCTACTACGGATACTATTGACCCACTGCAGACTTATCGCCGGTAATGGATCATTCAGTTGCTCTCTTCTATTACGGATTAGCCACCCTCTAACGTCCACCCTTGATACCAGTATATACTTGAATCTATTAAACTTTTACACATAACTATAATCACTTTCAATTAAATCTTTTATTGCTTGGATCACAATTTCCTTTTTCAAATTCTAACCTCAATATAATCTAGCATTTAGTTTTGGTACTAGTATATGCTTCTAGAGTACAGTAGTGTCCATAGTCTCTATGCTGAACTCATCCTCTGGGAAGTTTGTGCTAGGTAACTAGGTTATGTTTGTTTCGCGTATGTAATAACATGGAAATAACATTTAATGTACAGGTTTGATATCTCCTGGAGTCAGCGTCCCGATAGCGGTACCAGGACAACCAGCACCAGATATGGCGGCCCAATATTGGAGCCCGAGGTTACAGTGACCGTGGTGGTCGTCCACGTCGACATCCACATCCTAGGTTCATCAGTATCGTTCTTCTTTCTCCTTGTCTTCGTTGTCGACCTCTTCTTCGCCGGTGGCTGGACCCCGAAGAAGCATCAAGAGTAATCCTGGTCGATACTCCTCGCGGTTGTACCACTCTCATTCTCAAGTATAAAAAGATTAAATGGATAACACACCTGGATACTTGATTACGAAACGTAGAATCTTATGGCGAGGAGGATAAATCGACCATCTTTACTAGTAGACACGATTCACATAGTCAAGTCGTTCAGCTATACATAATGTAGTTAGAAAGGTAATTTCGGCCCCAGCGGCACACGTTGGTACAAATCCTGAGGTTATTATTAACAATTAACATTAATTAGTAATGATCATTAATCGTTATAAAACTCCTGCTGAGCTTAACACTTCCACCTTCTCACGGAGACGGTTTATACGCGTGTCAATGGTATTTGCCAAAAGAAAGAGAAGTCAACATTTTTCAAATTCTTTCATCCGCCTTGTACGGTTACAATTATTTTGGCTCGATAAGCCTTGTCTTCGTCTTTCCTGTGAATTCCACAATTTTTCATAAACTCCAGTGTTATTGGTGTATTGAAGGAAAAATTCTTATCAACCGTCGATACACGTTAAACCGTACATCGTATCCTTTGTAAAGATTATAGTTAGCTATGAATCACCGTGAAGAGATTGTGACATTTTTATTCGCAAGTTAGAAATAAATGGGAATCAACAAAAAAAAAAGAAAATCAAGAGACCCTAGGGCGCATAAATAGTTTAGCACTTAAGGCGGTATTACAATATTATTTATATTCATGTAATGAATGACAGGATAATGGACGTTTGTTGTGTGTACCGTAATATCGGTAGTTATTTATAGTTATTGCTAACCCTAAGTACTCACTAAACGAAACGTAATTTATATCCGGCGCAAAGGGAGCCAGATGACCGATTGTGATTTCTCTTAAGCCAGGTATGTTAAGCGTATGATTATATATTAAAATAAATAGTGTGTGCATTTAATTCGATACCTTAATATCGTATCTGTCATTTCAAGGGAACCTTTTACCAATAATCCAAAACCTATAGCATTAAAATAAAATGCATAAGACAAACTTTGAGTCTATTGAAAAGATGAATTAACGTTTATGTTATTTATTTAACCAATCATGCATAATTACATAAATAACAAAGTCCACTTACCGTTATGCCTCATGAGAAACTTTTGTTCTTGAATAACGTAATAGCATAATGAAATAGAATAATGACATAACATACATAACAAAGAAGTAGGTTCCTCTTGATTTTTTTTGCAAATGTAACAATCGTATATTCTTGCTAGAAGTCATTTTGTACAGTGAATTTCATTATACGTTATCATCTAATGTAGGTACTCGTTAGAAACTTCAAATTCCGTCGAAATGTTGTCGCAAACATGAAAAACAGTGGAAACGAGAAGAAATATTTTTCAAGAGTAAAATCAACTCGAAACGTCTATAGTTATTTAAGCAGTACCGATAAAACAAAAAGAAAGGTCATAGCACCTAAATCGTCTGTGATGTGATTCCTTTAAGGACTAGTAACTAATGAATGAGTGTTATTTAGCGATCATGAAAATTATCTAATGACGTTAAATCAATGTCCTTGGCATCATGGACTGAACAATAATATCTCAAGAAGAATTAATAATTGTATATCATGATTTATCGAGGAAAATCAACGATTCCTCCGAGTCTATGGAAACCAAACCGGCCAACGAGGTTGGACAAACGCGGCATATAAAAAGAAAAAAAGGCTACGTCCACAATGAGTTCTACGTACATCGACTATTAAGGTATGTAATTATCTTCTACAAAGCCAGTACGAGGATCGAGAGTCGTAGAAGTCGAGGAGCGAAACACGATGAGACACACAGTGTTCCGAATAATCGACGAAGAAGTGTAACCATCGTAGATGTACCATTGACATTCTTGTATCTTCGGCTAATAAGGGCGCAATTGATATAACTAATATTACATAATCGTAACAACATACGGAATAAAAAGATACCGATTTAAAATTTGAATAAATCCGCAGTAAAATTCGAGAGCTAACACGACCAAAAGTATTATTCGGTTAATCACGTGTCAGAGCAGCCTATTCAAATTTACCGCTTAATTAAGTACCAAATACTCTCTACATTGACAAGACCTCAGATCATTCTCTTATCCGTAAGCAGCGCATCTATGTCTTTTAATATATCCTCGGAGGTCGTGTCAAGCATCAGATAATCCTCGTCATTCGCTTGCAAGAGACTGTCGCAAATGTGTTCCTTATCATCCATCCGCGCATCGCCACTTTCTACGGGTTTCAAATCGGTGGATCTCTTATCGTCTGTACTACTGTCACAAAGCCTGACCTCGACAGATCTGGAGGCCTTCTCGTCCAATCTACACGCAACATCAGCAGATACATCCATCTGTATATCATCCTGATCATCATTGAGCATGTCATTGCTTTTATTAGGACAGTCATTACTCTTGTTGCTGAGGTTCATAAAACGATCTCTACGCGTTAGCTTTTTAGGCGAGCGACGCAGTCTAACCGGAGGTACCTTAAGGCTACCAGACTCCACGGAGATAGCCTTGGACTCAAAAGGCTCATCCTGACTGCTGGCAGGTTCAAGAGCTGTTTCCTGTTTACTCATAGTCGGTTGAGCCACCATCCTGGAGGCGCGTAATTCAGCCAAGGTCTTGATTGCAATATTAAGAGACTCTCCGGATGTGATGACCTCAGCCATCTCGTCTGGTGTCTTTAATTTCCTGTTTCCATCCTGGTCAATAGCCTGTCTTTTCCTACGTCGTATCTCGTCCAGACTGAGTACCTTGAAATCCAAGTCTGACGATGATTCGGTCTTCCTGACCCGGTCCAGCTGGTCTTTGGAGTAAAGGCATATGGTTCTCCTGGTGCGTGACGTTTTCTTGCATTTTCCACCGCCGACGTCGCCCAGGTAGTCGTCAGGCTCGTAGGAGTAGTAGGCAGCACTCTCAGCTTGTATCTCCTCCAGTCTGATCTCCTCGTATGTCTTACAATAGGGCACACGCGTGTGTGGCTTTATCGGCGAAGGTACACTTTCATTGTCAGACTCTGGAAGAACAGACACGTAAAGTAAAATCGAGAGCCGATTAGGTTTTTTTTTATTGGATTTGATTTTTGTTTGTTTATCTTTGCTTTTACTATTTTCATTCTCATTTTTTCATTAATCCTGGCGGAGTGACGCTCTCGCAGAATGGCCAGAAGCCATAACAGAGTCCATCCTTTCATTATCCCAGTCCTTTCTCGACTTCATTCCCTCTCTCCGCTCTTCCTCGTCACTCCATTGTTATTTTACTTTATATCCTCCCCCATATTTATTCATAGTTCATCATTCTCTCCCGCATTCGACCCCTCTCACGCTCATGCCCCCCCCCCCAACCCCCTGCATACATCACTACATGTAATCGTTAGTCTCCCTCTCGTTTTTTCCTTATGTCATTGGAATTTGTTCTTTCCGTCGCTGTAAAAAAATTTGACTATACGTCACACCCCTCTAAGCGGAAGTCCCATGAATTGAAGAGGCGGAAATGAAGGGAGCAATCGTCGTAATCAACAGTAAGTGTCGGTGAAGATCCGTTATTTCACTGTCCAGGATATATTTAACGTAGTTTGCCTCCAATCTTTTGTTACTTTCTCAGCGCCTAGCTGCGTCCCAAAGCGTTCCACTTGTATCCTCTGTAATTTCCTCTCTACGTCTCTCGTGCGGTGCGGTGCGGATTTCCTCCATGCGAGACGCTGCTGTTCGCGCTGTGTGTCACAATTTACTACATGCGGTGCCGTATGTTTCGGAATGTTTAGAAGGTGCGTATAAGTCGTAAGCGTTTTTTTTTTCAATTTTTCAGCCTTTTCTTTTTTGTCCGTCTCTCTCTCTCTCTTTCCGGTCACTCACGCTCTCTCGCAAAGTTATCTATACCTCTTTTCATTTTCAGTGTCATCGTCTAATGCGCTTCTCAATAATCTTTAAGGATAATATATATATATATATGCAGCTGAGCGAATCGTTAACAGAGGGCCAAGTAAAATCCGCGTCCAAGGAACAAGAAGAAGAGACACTTCCTTCCATGTGCACCTGACACTGACCTAGCCTTACGTCTACGCGCAGTGCGACTGGCGGTATATCACGTGTCCACTTCACGAAGTGGCCGATATAAATGCCCGCTCTCCGCGAAAATACAGATGAGACCAACAAACAAGTACGGAGAGTAAAGACCCGGGCGACGTGCCCAAACAAACAACAACGATCAACGGGCACAGATGGTCACGCAACACTCGTTGCATCAAAGAGACATTCGAGGTATGAAGTTTATTGAAATTCAAAGGATATCATTTTTGTGTTGTATACTGGTTTCATTTTTTTTCTTTTCTTATTTCACTTTTTCTTTTTTTTTTTGGTTCCATTAAAAGCATTAATTTCATCGCTTACATCAATCATATAATAATGTTCTTGCGTTATTGTATTAATTCTCTCTCTTATAGCAGAAGTGGCTGCGTTCACGAGCCGACGTACTGGCAATTGCAATTCGGCACAGGGTCACCAAAAAGAGAGAGACAGAAGAAACGGTAGAGGCCCGAGACATAAAAAAAAAATATGAAAAATACAAGAAGACAGAGACCCAAGAAGATCGAGATACGCGAAAATGACAGATTAAAAGAAATAAGATAATATGTTACGAAATTCAACATTTTTCCCGGGATGTTCACTCTGACCAAGGACAAACAAATTTTTGCGCTACTGTCGCAGTTGCCGATGCCCGGCTCGTGACGCGGTATATTTAAATGTCGTGTCCCAGCGAACGGCTGTAACGACGTAATTAATGTTTCATTGTAGGGGGGGGGGGGGGGGGAAAAA